GGAGACCAGCAGGTCGAGGCTGCGGTGGCCGGGAGCGGCCACTGCACCCCAATCTGGGCAACAGAGTGAGACTCCAAGACTCCAACTCAAAAAAAAAATTAGCTGGGTGTGGTGGTGTGCGCCTGTAGTTCTAACTACTTGGAAGGCTGAGAAGGAAGGATCGCCTGAGCCCAGCAGGTGGAGGCTGCGGTGGCTGTGAGTGTACTCCAGCCTGGGCAACAGAGTGAGACTCCAACTCAAAAAAAAAAAAGAGCAAGGCAAGCATGCAGGGTGATGGGGCCTCTTTTTTGTGGGGTAGTCACAGAGGCCTATCTGAGAGGGCCCCGGTTGGAGTGAAGAAGCAAGCCCGTGGCTTTCTGAAAGGAGAACCTTTAGGCAGAGGGAGCCGTGGAGGCAGCAGGTGGGGGCAGGGGCTGGGCAGGAGTGCCTTTGGTGGATTCTGGGGTGATGTGTGTGCAGGAGAACAGTAGGAGACGGGGGGTGGGGTAGGGGTGTGGTGGTGGGATGTCAGTCTCACTGGCCATGGCAGGGAGTTAGGACTTGCTAAGAGTGGTATCATCAGAAGATTGCCGGAGGGGCTGACAGGATCTGACTTTGAAAGGTCATTGTGGCGTGTGGGGACTGGCTTGTAGGGGACAGGGGTAGGAGCCAGGAGGTCAGGAGATGGCGGGGACTGGGATGGAGAGAGACACCCTGGTAGCCTGGAGCAGGGAAACCGGGCAGAGATAATGGTGGCGTGGCCATGAGGGCAAGGCCAGTGGGGTTCAAGAGACAGGAGGCGACGTCACTAGGTCTTGGTGCCTGCGAGTCAGGGGCAGGGAGAGGGAAGGCCAGGGGACACTGGGAGGCTAAATGTGGGATGGGGAACAGGTCTCAGCGAGGGGGGCTCTTCCTGCCATGGCCCACAAAGGCCAGCTTTTCCTCACGTTGTGAAGGAAACACTGAGGCCCCAGCGAAGGGTGGGCTGCCAGGTGGAGGCCACTTTCTGCCTCCTCTGGACCAGGCTCCAGGACTTCCTGCTCCCTTTCTTCCCTTTTCTCTCCTGGCCAGGAGGCAGCCGCTGTGTTTCAGAGCTTGGCCACTTGGGGGCAGCACAGAGCCAGACGCCGCTCCCGTGGGACTTAGGTTGGGGAAGGGTATGGCAGCGGGGTGACTTCTGGGTGGGGGGATGTTCTCCCACATGGCCACACTTCCTTTCAGGGCTGGCTGTGGATGTGGTGGGCAAGGTCCTGGGGTCGGCTCCCAGCCTGCCCTAGTGCTCTGGGGTCCCAGGAAGCAGTAGTGGGCACTGATCCTGCTGGCATGGCCTTTGCGATCAAGTGAGAGGGATGTGCAGTGCCTGGCACACAGCCAGACAGACCCACCCAGGCGGCCGAGCTGAGCCTGGGCCCTGGCCCCACACATTTCCCTGGCCTTGCAGCTCTTCTGTGATACACCTGTGCCCGGCTCCCTGTGGACATCCTACCTGCACACCGCCTTCCCCCAGCTCTGCTCAGTCTGTTCCCTGGGCTGAAGGGCCCTTTCCTGGGTCTCTGGGAGTCTTTCCCCCATCCTTCAAGGGCCTGCTCTGAAGCTGGTGCTTCCCAGAGGCCCTGCATGCTCTCCTGTCCCTCTGTCTCCATCCCAACCTCAGCATGTCCTGCCCAGGACCAGGTGCTTGGTCCTCTCCACTGCTTCGAGGGGAGAAAACACGGGCTGGTCCTGTATTCAGCCCCAGCTCAGGCCCTCAAGTTGCTTCAGCTTTCGCACCCTCCATTTCTCCTCTGGGGTTTGGGGACAGCGTGAGCTACTCTGCTGGGCCACAGTGAGGACTGAGAGGCCTTTGTGCCAGGGTGGGGCCATGGCCAGAGGGAGGGCTGCTCACATGGGCCATTGCTTCTCACACAGGCCACCTACATCTACATGAAGGCCGCCTACCTCAGCATGTTTGGGAAGGAGGACTACAAGCCGTTTGGGGATGACGAGGTGGAGTTGTTTAGGTGGGTACTGCCACTGCGCGCCCGTTGTGGGCCTCAGCTGGACAGACCAGCCCAGCCCTGCCCACGACCACCCTGAGCTGCAGGCACCCGGGAGGGCAGCGGTGGAGTAGCCACCTTCCCTGGCTCTGAACTCCCAGCCCTTGCCCTAAGACTGTGCCGTGTGTCCGTCGTGTCCGTCGTCCCCACCCGTCCCCACCTCATGCTGCTGCTGCTGCTGCTGGTTGGAAGCCTTCAAATCTGTTCGAGGTTTTCTTTCACTGAAGTGGTTTTGTCAACGTTCTCTACCCCTGAGCTTCTTTCATCTGGTCAGTAGGACAGATGTGGACACTGAGGTCCTGAGAGGGGGAGATCCTTCGTTCTGCTGCGTTAACCTGATACACTCAGAGACGCACAGTAGAGAACCCAAGAGTTGGCATCAAACAAACAGGATTAAAGCCAGACTCAATTAAAAAAAAAAAAGCCAACCTCTGCCATTTTTTAGCTGTGTTACCTTGGACGTTTCAGCATCTGCAAAATGGGAAAAACAGCTTCCACTTTGCAGGGTTGTTGTGAGAATCAACTAGGTAATATAGTTGAATAGTCTGGCTTAGGACCTGGGACCTAGTGTGCTGCCCACTGGGTGGTGACTGTTCCCATCTTATCCATGTCACCTTATTCCTGCAAAGGGTCCTTAGAGCAGGGTGCAGCCTTGGCAGGATGAGGATGGAGCCTAGAGCCTTCCTCCAGCCATGGTGAGGCTAGCCCCAATTTGTAGACCTGGAGGTGGGTGTAATGTGAGCCTCCTAGGCTGCTGCTGTCACATGATAGGGCGTCTGTCACTTTCGGAGTACCTGCTGCTGCAGCAAACTCCCCGTGCCTGTCTCATGTAACTCTTCCAGAAAGCCTGTGAGGGCAGGTGCCATTATCTCCATTTTAGAGACGAGGAATTTGAGGCCCAGAGAGGTTCCACAGTGACTAAGCAGAAGAGTTTAGGGGGACCTCCCACCTACGTCCAGCTGTTTCCTGACCTTAAGTGGCTCAGGCTTGAGGTCACAGCCCCACCCAGTGACTGTGGCAGAAATCAGAGCCGGATGGACCTGGGTGGGTGAGGCCCAGATGTGGCGGCTCGCCCAGCTGCATACATTTTGCTCTGCCCTGGGACGCAGCTGAGAAGGCCACAGTTCACGAGGCAAGAGTTAATTAAGGGGTTGAGCTGTCTGGTCTTGGTCCCACCCTTTCTTTGGGTGTTGGTCTCTCCCCTGTGAAACTAGGATTAGACTTCCGTTGGGTCCTGCCTGGAAAATGGGGCATGGGGGTGGAGGACAGATAACTAGAGGTACTGGGTACCTTCTCACCTCTGCCAGCTGGTGAGGAGGGGCCCCTTGTCAGGCCACAGGAAGCTGGCCTGGTCTCATAGCCACAGGCTATTTCAGATCTAGGAGGCTCTTGGGAGTCCAACACTTTCATCAAACAAATGGGGAAACCGAGACCCAGAGAGGGGCCAAGCGGAGGCTGGGTAGGCAGGGGACCCCCAGTCTCTCTTGCTTTTTCTCATCCTTTCCCCGCCCTCCCCATTTCTTCTCAGGGCTGTTCCAGGCCTGAAGCTCAAGATTGCTGGGAAATCTCTACCCACGGAGAAGTTTGCCATCCGAAAGTCCAGACGCTACCTCTCCCCCAACCCTGTCTCATTGCCAATCCCTGCTCTGGTGGGTAGGAAGCCCCGGACTGTCCTGCCCTCTGATTAGGATGTAGGATTCTCGAGAGCCACTGCCAGGGACGTGATGAGGAGAGGAGACCTTCAGGCCTCAGGGGTGGGGAGGGTTTCACAACCCATCTGGGACCTGGGGGAGGAACACAGAAGAGTCTGGCCCAGCCCCTGCCTCTTAGAAAGTGCTGGTCCATGGGGGTGGGGCAAAGAGACAGGTGAGCAGGCTGCAGGCTCCAAGAGGTAGAGCAGTCCTCCTAGCAGCCCCACGTCCCTGTGCCCAGACAGAAGTCACCTGGCTGTGTCCCCGGCCTGTCTGTCCAGTCTTGTCACAATGATTATGATTGTAATTGTTGTCTACACTGTCCCCCTCACTCGACCAGCTTTTCACCTGTGAACTAACAACAGCCAGCATTGTCATTGGGCACATGCTGTATTCAAGGCTCTCTATGCCCACTGCCTGGTGCCGCATTTAAACCTCACATCAACCCTTGGAACTGGTGCTGGTTGTACCTCCATTTTACGGATGGGGTTAATAAGGCCTAATAGATAAGCTGAAAGATAAAATAAATAATGTGTCCAGGTCACCCAACTAGTGAATCAGAGAGAGATTTGAGCTCAGCAGTCCAGCTCCACAGCCCATATTCTGAGTCACTGTTAGAACACCAATTCCACACATGACTGGAGCAGGTATCAGATAAGTTTCCAGTTTGCTGAGGGTCCTTGTTGATATTCAAATAGTAAGACAGCTAGAAGAGTAGACAGAGCCCTGCTTCAGAGACCTTTGCTGGCTCTGGCTCTCCTATTCAACTAATTGTGTAGCTTTAGATACAGTCCCTCTGCCCTTAGTGTAAAATGGGTGTTATAATATATACCTTTCCCATTTCATAGAACAGTTAAGAGAATCAACTGAGAAAATGTGTCAAACACTTTGCAGATTGAAAAGTCCAGGCCTGGCATGGTGGTCCGTGCCTGAAATCCCAGCATTCTGGGAGTCCAAAGTGGGCGGATCATTTGAGCCCAGTTCAAACCCAACCTGGGCTACATAGCAAGACCTTACCTACAAAATAATAAAAAAAATTAGCCAGACATGGTGAGCATGCCTTTAGTCTCAGCTGCTCTTGAAGCTGAGATGGATCACCCGAGCCCAGAAGGTTGAGGCTGTGGTGAGCCGTAAGCTTGCCACTGCACTCCAGCCTGGGCAACAGAGTAAGACCGCCAACCCCCCCCAAATTCAATATTTATATAAAATTTATTGAGAGTTTATATCCTGAATATTTCTAAACAACTTTAAAAATATTTTTTCTGCTATCAAGTGGGGGAGGAGAGGAGAATTTCCAAAACTTAGAGGAGAATTTCCCAAATTGTAATCTGCAAAATGCTATTTATGCATGAAACAATTTCTGTGATTTAAACACAGCTGGGAAAAACTGGCCTAAGCAAAGATTATAAACTATAGACCTTCTTGAAGTCTGTGTATGCCACTCTGCATGTGAGTCGCCAAGAAGCTCAAGGATGTGGCTTTTCCCTAATTTATTTGGCCACAAAACCCCTTTAATGCTTTGTTGTTGTTGTTGTTTGAGTCAGGGTTGGAGTACAGTGGCATAATCACGGCTCACCACAGCTTCCACCTCTTGGGCTCAGGTGATCTTTCTGCTTCAGCCTCCCAAGTAGCTGGGACTACACCTGTGCCACCACACCTGGCTAATTTTTTAATTTTTTGTAGCGATGAGGTCTCACTACGCTGCCCAGGCTGGTCTTGAACTCCTTGGCTCAAGTATTCCTTCCGCCTTGGCCTCCTAAAGTGCTGGGATTACAGGTGTGAACCACCATGCCCTTTTTAAAAAATGAAGCATTTGCTAACTTGTGACCACAAAACAATTTGAGAGATACTGGCCTAAGCTTAAATTCTCTTCCTAGAGCATAGAAACAAGAACCACAACAATAATGTCTTTCCTAGAACTCTGTGTATCCAAAGCACTTTCATATCTATCACCTAGTTTAATAGTTTAGGAAATGCCAATTTAAGCTGATACTTACTATGAATGACAACTTAATTTAGTATTCTGAACTTCCTGACAGTCAAGGCAAGAAAAGGAATCAGTAGCCTGACAAAGAAAAAGAAAAAAGAAAATATATATATATATTTTTAATTAAACAAAAAAAGGAATCAGGTTATATATTATGGTTTTCAAGATGGCAACTCAGTTTTAAAGGAAGTGGAATGTGAGTTGTCACTATTGAGCGCATTGTATTGGGGGAATAGGAGTAGCAGAGAAGATGATATAGTCTTAAACTCTTGTTCTAAAGTATTTAATTATGGTTCCTCCAGTAAAGGAGGCCGCCCTGCCAGCAGGAACAAGGAAGGGGACTTCCTGGAGAGTGTGGGGCATGACCTGGTCCTCACGGATGGAGTTTGGACCCAGAGAGGTTGGGAGAAAGGACATAATGGTACCCGGGGAAGCCATGAGCAGAAAAAGTAGCTGGAAAATATTGGCAGCTATGAGCTGAACAGTGAGGACCTTGTCTATCTTAAACCCTCACTGGGTAAGGGGAGAGGGCAATAATAGCTAAATGATGAGACCCTCCTCCGGAATCCCCCAAGGCCCCAGCTTCACAGACTGGGCTGATACTTGTCATGGAAGATTAGAACTAGAAGGGCCTTGAGTGATCTTCTGATCTGAGCTGCCCATTTTATAGATGGGGAAACTGAGTCCTCATTGGGGAAGGGGCCTAGGACTGACTTGCTCCCTGCCCTCAGGAAATGATGTACATCTGGAATGGCTATGCTGTGATCGGGAAGCAGCCGGCACTCACGGATGGGATACTCAAGATTATCACCAAGGCTGAAGAAATGCTGGAAAAAGGCCCAGGTGACTACCTCCAGGCCCTTGAACCTGCCAGTCTTACACTGGTCTTTACAGTTGGAGGTTCTTCTGCCAAAATGTCCTTCCTCCCTTCTCGACCATACTCTAGACTGAGCTCTATTGTCAGCTCTTCCAAGCAGCTGTCCCTTGTCCCCCAGGTAGGGTCAAGGCCTACTCTGGGCTCCCACAGGCCCTGGGCATCCTGCGGTTAGTCCCGACTTCACTGTGTTATTGTCTCAGTATCTGTCTTTCCTTCTCAGATGTGAGTCCCCTGAGGACAGAGACCGTGTCTGACTTACCTATGTCCCTCTGGGCCCAGGACAGAGTAGGGGCTTCCTGAGTAACTGCAGAAATGAACAAGCTCATCTTCTCCCCTCACACCCCTCTCTTCAGAAAACGAGTACTCAGGGGATGACGAGTGCTTGGTGAAATTGTTGAAAGGCCTGTGTCTGAAATACCTGGGCCGTGTCCAGGAGGCCGAGGAGAATTTCAGGAACATCATGGCCAAGTAAGTACCCTGTGGCTGCTCCCGCTGGGCCCGCATCTCCTGGGCTTCTCCATCCTCCTGCCCAGCACAGTGGCCAGCCCTGGCCAGCCCCCTTTCCCCACACATGCGCTAGTGTCCCCTCAGTGCCAGGACTTGTCTTGGGACTAGGGGCACAGATCATCCAGATCCAGCCCAAGTGCCTGACTGCCGGGGCCCCTCTGCGCTGTTCTGAGTGAACACGCCCCCGGAGTGTCATTCAGTGCCTCTGCCTTTGCCCTTGGCAAGCACAGATGTTACGAAGCCTGGGTGTAGGCAGCCCCACCCAGGATGACCAGGGCTGAGCCAGAGGACAGCAGAGAGGACAGGAGGCGCCCTGAGGAGGGACCTAAACATAATGGAAGACACTGGGAAAGGCCTTCCAGGGTTGACATGTAAATTGGGGGGTTTATCTGACAAAGGAAGCAAGGGAGGAAGAGTTCTGAGTAGGTCTAGCATGTGCCAAGGCCTGGATGCGGGAAAGACCCCTGAGGTTAGGATGAGGGTGATTAGGTCCTCCCCGCCCGGGGGATGTTAGAGAGAGAGCTGAAGATGGAAAGAGGAGGGCTAGCCTGAGCGGGGCCTGGATGTTTTGCTCGCAAGGCTAACCTTTATCCTGCTGGCAGAAGAGAGCCAGAAAGGACGCCAGGCGGGGCAGACTTGGGTTTTAAAAGGACGTCTAAAAGAAGATGTCTCGGATCAGCGGGGCCAGACCGGAAACAGGAGATGTACCCGGTTAATAAACCATTTAACCTGGAGAAAAGGGGGTCAGGACTTAGGTGCGGGTGGACTAAGGACATGACAGGAGCCAGAGATCATCAGGGAGTTGGGGTCCAGGGTACAGCACTGGAAGGCTCTGTGGATCTGTGGATCCTGGCCTTTCTCAGGCGGAGGCAGAGGGAATGTCGAAGAACTGGAATTCAGAGCAGGAAATCCTCACATGAAGTTTGGGGAAGACTTGTGGGAGGAACCCGAAGGGAGAGCCTGTGAGTCTTGTCCTCCCTGTTCTACAGTGAGAAGAAGATTAAGTATGATCACTACTTGATCCCCAACGCCCTGCTGGAGCTGGCTCTGCTGTTAATGGAGCAAGGCCGAAATGAAGAGGCCATCAGACTCCTGGAATCTGCCAAGTAAGGCCTGGGCAGCCTTGATCTTTCCTTTGCTCCCTCTGATCTGAGCTCAGGCACTGGCGAGGGGCAGAGAAGCAGGACAGCAGTGAGTGAGGTTGCCGGCAAGGGCGGTATGTAGCAGTCCAGAGGGCAGGCCTGTGTCCCTGGGAACCCAGCTTTCACCTGGGCTCTGCCTCAGTTTACAAATGAGCGGCAGGAAGTGAGTTGCCCAGGGTCATCCTGCAAGCCAGGGATCTATCTCCTGAAACCACCTCTTCAGGCTGAGGGGCCCGACAGGACCGAGAATGGTTCTGGTGGGCGTGACACCAGGGGTGAGGCACCACCAGCCCGTTCAGTTAGCTCTCCCACTGGGCAGGACCCAGCGCTTTCTTTGGACATGGACAGGGAATTTAAGCCTCGAAATCTTCCTTTGGCTGGGGGGGCTCACAGCTCAAGCGGAAGGAAACGGACCTAGAAGCAAGCAGCCTCACGGGTCTGATTCTCTGCTCACTTTCAGGCAAAACTACAAGAATTACTCCATGGAGTCAAGGACACATTTTCGAATCCAGGCAGCTACACTCCAAGCCAAGTCTTCCCTAGAGGATGGCAACAGATCCATGGTCTCATCAGTGTCCTTGTAGCTTTGTGCAGCAGTCCCTGGCTGGAAGACGAACAGAGACAGCTGGACAGAGCTCCTGGAAACATTTCAAAAGATCCTCTCCCCCTCTCCTGCCTTGCCTTTGGGGACCACCGGTGCTCCAGTGGGATGGCAGGACACGGGCATCTGTGCAGAAGCCATACCCGCATTTTCACCAGTGTGGCCAAGGGCCTTTGCCATGGGCAGAGCGGGTGGAGCCCTCTGCCTGCCCTGCCACACATACGGGTACTTGTTTTTCACTGTGATGTTGAAGAGAATGTATGAACAGTTTACATTTTCCTTAGAAATACATTGATGGGATCACAGTTGGCTTAAAAAAAAAAACAACAAAAAACCAACACCAACGAACCACCTGTAAATCTTTGTTTTCACCCCTCATGTTTTGAAGGTAAATCTCTTTATATGATGCCAAAGGGCAAACTGCTTTTCAAGCGCCAGCAAGCTTTCAGCTTCTGGGACTGGAAGGTTCTTCCTCTCAGAGGACCTGAGGAGTGCCCGGAGAGTCTGAGCCTTAGGCTTTGATGCTTCTGGGGTTGGCACGGAGGCTGTGCACAGACACCCACTACCTTACTTCTCACCCCTGTCTCACGCCCTTTGCAACTTTCTATTTGAAAAATCAAACACGTCTTCTGAGTGAGATAAAACTTGAGCCCATCTGCAGAAAAGCCATCTCCGCCAGGAGGAAAGGGCTGCCAAGGCCGCTGGGGGGGCTGCATGGCCCTTTCTGTGCCAAAGCCAGGAAGTTTGGGGGACAGCGGGAAGGTTCTGTATCTTTACTGTACGCCAAACAAGCCAATGGGAATAATTCATGAAACATAAAACTCCACTGTACTTCACTCCAAGGTACATTTATTTACTGACAGCATTTTTCTTAGCAATAGAACGGTTGTTTTTGGCCTGTTGTATGTGTTAGATTTTTCAGTTAAGAGAAAAGAGATATTTAAAGTTATAAATTTTATACACTTAAGAGATCATGCAACATCTATTTCAATAAATTATGTGTTGCTTGAATTCTTGGGCAGAGCAGAAACTCTTATCAGAAGCCACAAGGCCCATGTATGTTTTATTTAGACAACACAATGTTTAAAAAATTTTAATGTAAGTTACTAACACTTACCAACGGGGAGATTTCACAAATGAATCTGGTTTCTGGCCTCTAATTAGAAAAAAAAGCTTCATTCCTACAACATTGAGCTTCATTCCAGCAATCAGCCAGAGCTAAGTAGAGGCTACTTTAAACACTTCTAAAAGTATCTGAATTTGCAACCTCTGGGACTATTAAAGTGAGGACTCAAGTTCAGTGACCAACACCAACTGGTACCATTCACATTCTAATGTCAACGCACTTCAATTTAGCCATTTCCCTGGAGGTAAAATCATGCACACAGTAAAAATTCATCTGTGAAAACAAGACTTCCTGAATGTATGAATGCAGTTTCTGTAGGAAGCACACAGTGAGTTTTTCCAGTCTCCCATCATCGCTGTATTTAAGAAACACTTGTATTTGCCCCGGGCTGGGTTAAGAGATTAAAATACAGTCAACCAGCCTTCTATGAGTGATACTGAGTGAAGTCATGGGTTTTAGGCAAAACATATTCTCATTAGGGGGAAAAAAAAAAAGCAAAAAGCCCTCATCCAAGATCATCATTTGCTAAGTAGAAATGCTAAAAAATCGCTCTCATTTGTCAGAAATAGGCAAAAGCAAGCCCTCAGTTGAGAGCATTCTCTTTGCAAGCTACCCCTCCTTCAAAGCCTGGGTCTGGGAGACTGCCCTGTCTGGAGGTCGCTAGGTGGGACAGGGTGAGGGGAGACTCGACAGGCTGTGGAAGGAGGGTGGGCTTTTGGGGATTCCCCATGTCAGAACACTGTGTTGAAGCAGCATTGGGTCACAGGATGCCAAACACAGAATCTGGAAAGTTGCAGTATGCAAAAACACTTCATCTCCACATTCCTTTCAGGTGCTTTTTGCTTTTATTTTAAAATTTTATGTCAGATGGCTTTCTTGTCAAGGTTTGCTGTTGTTGATTTTCTGATGGGCTCCATTCATTTACCTGTGTCTTTACCTCTGCTGCCCTGGTGCAGGCTGGCTGATAAGACAAATCAGTGTGTGTTTTTTTTGGAGTTGGAGTCTCACTCCGTCATCCAAGCTGGAGTGCAGTGGCATGCTCACGGCCACCCCAGTGTTGACCTGCTGGGCTCCGGCAATCCTTCTACCTCAGCCCAAGTAGCTGGAACTACAGGTGTGCGCTACCATGCTCAACTAATTCTTGATTTATTATAGAGACGAGTTTTCGCCAAGTTGTCTGAGCTAGTCTCAAACCTACAGGCTCGTGCAATCCACTCACCTCGGCCTCCCAAAGTGCTGGGATTACAGGCTGAGCCACCGAGTCCTGCCAACAAATCAGTGTGTTTTACCTCCTATATCCCACCGGCAACTTCTGAGATAATCAATCAAAAACATTTATGGAAGGGAGAGTGAAAACACTGGGTTTCTAAAACCACTGTGTCCTACACAGGGACCTCTGAAAGTGAAAATTCTGTCTAGGGTTTTTCAGTGCCTTTTTTTTTAGAGACAGGGTCTCACTCTGTTGCCCAGGCTGTAGTACAGCGTCATGATCATAGCTCACTACAGCCTCCAACTCCTGGGCTCAAGTGATTCTCTCGCCTCAGCCTCCCAAATAGCTAGGACTACAGCTAGGACTATGGGAGCATCTGATAATGCTCAGCTATTTTTATTTTTTCTGAATTTTTTTATAGAGACGAGGTCTTGCTATGTGGCCCAGGCTGGTCTTGAACTCTTGGCCTCAAGCAATCTTCCTGCCTTAGCTTCTCAAAATGCTAGGATCACAGGTATGAGACCAGCCTCAGTGTCTTCCTTGAGTCATTTCTGGTCACTGCTCTCTAATAGTGCAGACCTTCCCAGCACATCTGCCCTGGAGAAGCTGCTGATAGGTGAAGAGTTTTGGCCTGGAAGTAAGGAGACTCCTGGCTTTACTTCTTTTTTTTTTCTGAATTGGAGTCTCACTCTGTCACCCAGGCTGGAAGGCAGTGGCACGCCTCTTGGCCACTGCAGCTGGGCTCTGGCGATCTTTCCGCCTCAGCCTTCCGAGTAGCCAGCGCTACAGGCGCCCAGCTAAGTTTTTTTATTTATTGTAGAGACAAGGTCTTGCCAAGCTGCCCAGGCTGGTCTCGAACCCGCAGGTTCAGACAATCCACTCGCCTTGGCTTCCCAAAGTGCTGGAATTACAAGCAGAGCCACCGAGCCTGGCCTGTGTTTTTGTTTCTTGGGGGTTTTTTTGAGTTGGAGTCTCACTCTGTCACCTAGGCTGGAGGGCAGTGGCGCGCTCATGGCCACCGCACCCTCGACTGCTGGACTCAAGCAATCCTTCTGCCTCAGCCTTCCAAGTCGCTGGAACTACAGGCACGCGCCACCACACCTGGCTAATTTTTTTATTTACTGTAGAGATGAGGTCAAGTTGCCCAGGCTGCTCTTGAACCCGCAGGCTAAGGTAATCCTCTCACCTAGGCCTCCCAAAGTGCTGGAATTTTAGGTTGAGCCACCACGCTAGGCTGACTCCAAGCTTTGTTAAGGATTACCAGGATAACCTTGGGAAAGTCACAAACCCTCTAAAAATTAGCAATTTGGACCAGATTAAGGCTGTTTCCTGCTCTCTATATAGTTTCTGTTTCGGTGTTTTTATCTGCAAAATGAGGCAACAAATATACCTCCCTACCGCTCTGCCAAAGCTTTTATCCCCAGTTAGTTCAAGCAGAAATAACAGGCTTCCTGTAACAGGGGCTCTACAGTAGCCAGGACACCCAGCAAGCAAGTGAAAGTCCCAATCCTGGGCCACGGATGAACTCAGTTGCTAGGGAAGCAGCCAGCGTGTAACATGATCTGAGCAGGCCCTGGCAACGGAAAGTCCACCTCAGCCTCTCAAGGTTCATAGGCCTCAGACTGGCAGGGTGGCTTCTAGCAGTGTGCTGGCCCCTATCAGCTCTCCCACGAGCTGGCAGACTTCCCTACTCCTTATCTCTTGAGTCAGAGCGGGAGTGTTTCCAAGACAGTTATCGTCATTCACAGCAAAATGCCACGACCTGACATCAAAGCCAGGACCCTAGAAGGCCAACGCCAACGCAAGATTTGGCTGAGGTCCAGGTGGGAGATTCTCAGCCACTGAAGAATGGCACTGGGAGGTTTTCAGAAAGCCCCAGGCAGAAAGCGGTGGCTCACGCCTTTAATCCCAGCACTTTGGGAGGCCGCAGCAAGAGGATTGTCTGAGTCCACGGGTTCAAGACCAGCCTGGGCAGCTTGTTGGGACCTCATCTCCACAATAAATCAAAAAATTAGTTGTGTGTGGTGGAACGTGCCTGTAGTTCCTGCTACTTGGAAGGGTGAGGTGGAAGGATCGCCTGAGCCCAGCAGGTTGAGGCTGCGGTGGCCGTGAGTGTGCCAGTGCACTCCGGCCTGGGCAAGAGTAAGACTCCAACTCAAAAAAAAAAAAAAAAAAAAGCCCCAGCCTGCTGAGTGCTGGAACCAGCCAACAGTGGCATTATCCAGACAATATTCTCTGGAGTTACTCTCAAGTTTTCATCTAAGATGATGGGGACTGGACAACAGCCTTTCTCTTGTTTGCTTCCAATGTAAAGCCTAATAGACTGCCTTTTCGACCACTGCTTCCTGTGTCCTTAGAGCCCCATCACACTAATTCAGTAATAAATGAAACACGTCTGGGTTCTGAAATCCAAGCAGCAAATGGGAATATCTTTCCAAGGCTGGGTTAGCACAACTCCTTTGGAATCCAGTGCAAAGTTCGTTACTGACCAGAAGGGTAAGTCCAGGAACAAGAAGCTGCATTTGGGTGCTTGAAAACTCACTTCTAAATGAACAATCTATGATTGCTTCCATATAAAGACAACTGCTAAGGAGAAAAATGTGAATACAGCCCTCTGGAGAGGCATATAATTAATTACTGAAGGTCTCTGGGCTGCTAAAAGTCGACATTTCAGTTTAATCAGAGACATCGCAGCTACTACCTCACCAATGACCGGATTGGATTGTTGTTTTTCCTTCACATGAAGAAACACTTCAGAACATCGACACCACAAGTTCTGAGGAAAAGAATGAAAGCTGATTCAAAAGTGCTCATTATCTACCAGCGGCTAGTCTAAGCATTTTACATTTATGTAATCCTCATAACCGCCCTATGAAGTAGGAACTGTTGTTGCCATTTTACAGACGATAAAACTGAGACGTGTTAAATAACTTGCCTAAGATCACATAGCCATTATGCAGAAAAAAGATTTAAAGCTAGGCAGCTGCACCCTAAAGCCCACACTTTGCTACGCTGCGGGTCAAGTTGTAAAATTATCTGTTTAAGATTGAACCCGACTTATACCAACTTTTGGGCCACTGTTAAGAATGGAAGGGGTACTGGTTGATGATTCAACCATGGGAAATCCTCAACTGGGAACACATGGAGCGTGTCTGTGTGGCATGGTGCCCTTTGGTCACTTGGCATCATGAAGTAGGGAGAGGGTCTGACTTGGAAAAAGCCAAAGAAAAAATCAACACTTTTAATTTTGGAGTTAGAATCTCACTCTGTCACCCGTGCTGGAGTGCAGTGGCAAGTTCACGGCTACTGCAGCTTCAGCCTCCTAGGCTCAGGCGATCGATCCTTCCACCCCAGCCTCCCAAGTAGCTGGGACTACAGGCGCACAGCACCATGCCCAGCTAACTTTTAGATTTTTTTTTTTTTCGAGAGATGAGGTCTCGTTATGTTGCCCAGGCTGATCTCGAACTCGTGGATTCACGAGATCTTTCTGCCTCAGCCTTCCAAAGTGCCGGGATTGCGGATATGAGCCACTATGCCATGCCATTAAAAGCAACTCTTA